CTTTTGGGACTTTTTATTCACGAACAGAGACTGACCGCAGGGCCAGAATTCATGGAACTATTTTCGGCTACTGTGCCCGTGCGGTCGGTTAAATCTTTTCCCTGCCATAACTCCCGAACCCCTGGTCCGATCTGGGTGATTTTTGAGTATGTTGCTCACCCAGATCCGGGCTACCAGGGGACCCCTCATTCAAAGGTGTACCCTCTGTATTTGGGGTACATCCACAAATTGGGGGAAATTGTGTACTTGGTAATAAGCTTAACTGTTAATCTAAGGGGAGGAGATGTGGGGGAGGTAACCACTATGTGATTGGACACTGTAATAATTATGGAAGTTACCTCCCTTGCATGGGATAAATGCATAAAAGCAGAGTTTGTACAATAAAAGCCAGTTGACTCCCAGACTATGTGTCGTCTAGTCTTTGGGGAGGGGGATTATGCTGTGTTCCTGTATTCTTGTATGCTGAAACTTTGTTCCCAGCGGAGAGCTCTTGGATTAACCCCTGCTACTCCGCTATATGCCCAAAGGGTCTTAGGTACCTGTTCTGGATACCCCATAAATTGCGGCCCAAAACACCGGATTTGCCCAACACCACGTCACTACTACAGCAAACATGGGACGCAGCCAGACCACGCATGGGCTACACCAAACAATGGACATTAGCAACTCCACTGTACAGTCTGCACATTGTCAACACCACCTTGAACTACCGGCTATGGGTACAGGGCGGATGCACACTGGTCAGACATCTCTACCAACACAACACACTGATGCAATTCCCAGATCTCCAAAAACAATACAACCTACCACACCACACTCTACTCTCATACTTACAGATTAAATCACTCCTGGAGAACGAAACAGAGTGAGTCACCCCCAAGACAATGGAAAAGATAGAACACATATGCAAATCCATGATCATACCAAAAAAAACAATATCAAGTTTATATGAGTTACTAAATGACACCATTACCAATGTGTCAGATCCATTCAGAGAGGCATGGCAGGCAGACATAGGCAAAACATTTCCAAAAGAACAATGGCAAAAAGCATTCATAGCACATAAGGGCAGATCCAGATACGCATCACATTTGGAGATGATGCAAGAGTGCGGGCTACCATTTATGACTCTTGATCAGTACACTAAACCTCAGGCATTCTTAATATTTCATATTCTAATCGCCGCAAACCTACAAATAGCAAAGGCCTGGAAACAGGCGATGGCTCCAGAGAGGGCAATGTTGCTACAACAAGACATCACGAACCTTGATTATGAGACAAGGATCCACACAGAGCTCAGGGCAACGAAACTTAGGACAACAGCTAAAGGGGGGTGGGAATCATTCATAACCGGAGGGTCAGGGGAGGAGCAGGGGGGAGATCACGACTGACAGGAAATCAAGGACAAAAATTTCACAGAGGCTTGACAGGAGGTGGTTGGGTTTATTAAACTTTTCACACATGCACAGTGTATATAGTTATGCCACCGCATGCAGTCACCAAACTCCTTGCAAAAGGGCCACACGCAATGCAAGTACGGCCCTTAGGGTCAGCGCTGCATGCACAATAGCTATAGCACAATCTGCACAAGATGACCCAATCAATGAAGTTGGCATTAGACGAGAATGACTGCAGTGGTTATTGTATGTACTTGTTCTGACCTCTCCCCCATTTTCCTTTCTGTACCTCGCAACCTACTTGCAAAACGAAATCGAACCACTGAAGCACAAAATAAAAAAGCACTAGACGTAGAAGCAAAATTATTGACGATAGAATATATACATGTGAAAGTATGCCACCTGTCGATACTGCGCCCCTCTCGTGGACGTATGTCGCTAGCCTCGTACCATGTTATTTGTTGTCAAAAAGTGTATCATTAAGATTACTGTCCATTTTGTGCGTATTGAACCCAATGTACTAATCGAATCAAGTGTGTTACTAATAATGCATATATTATGTCACATTGCACCCCTTCACCCCCTTCTTTTCTGTACCCCTATTGTTTTGAACTATAATGGAAACAAGATCAATAAAGGAACGTCAGATAGATTACAAAATTTGATAGATAAACACAACCTTGTTATTCAAAAACATTCAGTTCCTACTCCAGAATCGATCTTATCCTGGGGGATGTGGAAGAAGGCCCCATTACTTTCAGAGCTACACATAGCGCTAAATGAATATAAGAAATAGAATAAAATAACACCTTCTACAGAAACCGCAAAGAAAATATCAGATACAGAACAGTGCTTTAATAAGCAACTATACAATAAAATAGCAAAAACTTTAGAATTCTTTCAATCTAAATGGTATCAAAAAGGCAATAAGCCAGAAGCGCCTATGACTAATAAGTTGAAAAAGAAAAAAAATCTAAATACAGTAGGAGGCAGCACACTTGATAGTAGGGGAATCTCTCTGACCCCCAAGGAAACTAGAACGAGTCTAAAACAAGGACACAGGTAGCGCCAAGAGTAAAATATTGACAAGAAAAAGTGCATAAAATGAAAAAACAAGATATTCACAATAAAATCTAACAGTAAAAACTACCAAATGGTGAAACACAGTCTCTAAAGTAGCGGCACGTCTTCTAGTTATTGTACACACATACACTACACCCAAACAACCCTTTCCACACAAACTACACATCAAAACACAAGAAGCATCCTCCACCATGCAAATGCATTCAAAATCATACAACAACCCAGGCAACGTCAAATACACACACATAGGTCCCTTTCCTGCCCTCTGGAATTCCATTTATGCTTTAAAGTACATCAAACTGATATGTCTACATTGGGGAGGCATGTGTGCTGGCACAACATTCACCTTCTTACTCAGGCCCCATCTGCTCCTTTTGTTCTGTTCTGCCTCTTAAGGCTCAGGACAAATTTTTGCCCCAGTTTGTCCCTGATTCTCAACTCAAAACAATTTTTTATGTAATAATCTTTTGATCAGGTTTGTAAGGAAATATATATATTTAAAACAAATTATATGTAAAAAAAAATAAGAAAAAAAACATCCCTGTATTTAGTATGTGACAGGATCCTTCAGCCGTATAATGCATCTTCAGACTGTATGAAAACCAACAATTTGTCTCTGTGGTATTCCCTGCACAGAAACAGGGAAGACCATAAAGACTAACTGTCATGGTAGTTAAATTAACTCCTCAGACCTGCTCTTGAATTAATAAATTCAATAGTGATCTATTAGGTTTTGTTCTCCAGGGTTACACGCTCACGTGAATAGCTGTCTCATTTATCGATGACTTTAAATGGGTGAGAACAGGACAAAGTTATTGACTTTGCCATTGAACAGGACATGGGTTTCACAAGATAAACTTTATGGTTTGCTGCACATCTGTGGCTTAAAGGGACAGCTAGTGTACTGTAAATACCATCACATTAAAGAAGTATGAAGTGTTGCGACATAGAGGGCTATAGAATGTAGAATAAATATGTAAACAGATACCTTTTGTCTATGACCAATTGATTTAAAATATATATTGTAATTAAAATCTCAATATAACAGTATATGTTTATTATGTATTTAATTATTATTTTATAAAGTGTGTTAATGTATAAATATAATGTTTTTAAGGACGTAAAAGTCGGGGGAAAGTCTCAATGTAGTTGTTCTGATAAAATACTTTCTTAAAATAAATAAACAAACTATTCTATTATAATGAGACACACATGTACAGTAATGTAATTGGAGGGCTGGGAAATGATGTGTATGTACCACCAGGCTTGCTTCTTAGCTGAGAATAGACACTAATGAACAAAAGAGGTATAAATGTGTGTTATCTGGGAGCGGACATTAAGCTCTTTCATTATTACATTTTTCATACATAAGTTCTAGACTCCGTAATTATTTTACATAGAGATACATAATGATGAACAGTTTATTATGTGAAAATAACTGCAATGATGGGTTCTGGAGACACAATTTCCATTATCTTTCCTTCCCAGCTGGAACGTAGAATCTATTATTTTTGTGGTCTAATTTTGTATTGGATGAGCTTGTTCATATTGATTTGTGTTTTATTAATACGTATTTATGCTCATTATTTTTTGTGATTTATTTTGGCTTGAAGAGGTTAACTCTCTTCTACCATTATGTGAACTGCTTTACTTTATATGTTACAAGGTATAGATTTGTGCTGCAGATCAATAGTCAGACACCTGCTCAACTCAAAAACTCCAGAAGGATCCCAGCTCTTTAACTGTGCAGGAGGTGAAGAAATGTATACAAGTTTTTTACGCAATCAAGCACAGTGAATATATATGGAAAATAGATAAGAGTTATATTGATACACCTGTACACATATGTATAGCCAAGCTTTCTGACCTATACACAGACACATAAACATTCTGCCATTTTAGTGTGTATTACACGTAATGGTATGGCAACATATATTCCTATTGTCCTAGATCTGGGGGGGACTGTTCGAATTTAGAGCTCCTCACCAGCTTTCCCCAGCAAATGCACAAAAAGTTTAAGCAATGTTCCGTGCATGGTCTGACCGGAGAGGGGACGGCCAGAGAGGCTGTTAATCAGCCTGACGAGCATTCACGCCAGGGTGGCATGCCTATTCTTTGGTGTTGTCACCCCCTTTGCAGGCATGGCCTACCATATTGGGTATCGCTAACAGAAATGGCTTCTTTGGCATGCGTCTATAGGTCTGCCTACTACCTGTCTTGAATTCATACCACCCAATGCTTAGAGATATGTAGTGATACTATTTAGATATAAGAACACACATGCTGGGTTATTTACTAAACGCTGTAGCAAATAAAGGAAGTTAGATTTATTTTAAAGTTTTCATTATGGACGATAATCTAAATATTTGTTAATGACACATCACAACTCAATGTTTAGTGAATAAACCACTTAATTTAAGAGTCTGCTTCTCCACCAACAGAGAGTGCTGTTTGGCTTTGCTAAAGAGACAAACAGAGGATTATAAATACTCTACGCCCACTCCATAAACAAACACATAAATCAGAGCCAAAGGGCTCATAGGATCCTCTCCTGTGTTTCCCAGACCAGGCAACTCTAGCTGAAATGCAAGGTAAGACATCTCTCTCATATCACTGCACTAAATGTATTTTTCCCTTTGCCCTCTTATTGTAGGTGAATGTGTAATCATCATGTAACTTTACTTAGTGGAAAGAGCACACTTTGTAAAAGTTTAGATGGAATTTGGAGGTTTGGGAAAAGATTAAGAGACAAGCTACAGAACATTATTTCATAAACGTTGATATTGTTCAAGTGACTGGAGTTATTTGCTATGTATTAGAGCTGATATTTTCATTTTCCACTAAAATCTACATACTAGGGGAGATTTATTAAGGCCAAATCAGGTTCTATTCTGGAACAAAGTGCCATATATGGTGCAATCACCATAGAAACCAATATAACAGAAACCAGAAATAGCACCTGTTTTGGCTTTAAAACAGCCCCCCATTATGATTCATTTCTAACAGTGTAACAAGATTAAAAAGCACAGAATGATGATAAATTAATTGTCAGTGATTTTATTAAGCACAAGTATTGCTATCTGAATATTATCCTTAATGAACAGACTAATATATTGCTAACCTAAAAAACAAAACAAAAAAACATGTATGTACACATAAACACAAATATAATGTCTTGGATTTTACTTAATATACCTAGATGTTGTTGAGTTAAAAAACAACAACACACATATGTAGGAATGGTACGTGAGCAATCAACTAAAGCAGTACATCAATGAGCTAAACAAAAAAATACTGTATAAAATTTTTAAGGTGTAAAAATATAACCTATATTCTAAAATATATTTAGAAAAAAAAATAAGAACCCCTAAGTGTGATAAGCATAATATTAAACAAATAATAAATAAAGAACAAAATACATTTTACACCCAACAACCTGATAAAAATAAAAATCCTAGTCTCTAAATGTTTGATCTACACAAAGGAAAATAAAAGAGACACAAATTGCACATTCTGAATAATTCTGAAAAATGTAGGCAAAATAAATAATAAATAATAAATAATTTTTTAAGTACAAGGGATTATATTCCTGGGCCTAGAGAAAGTTAAAGAATTTTCAGTTAATGCAATTGAATATATCTCAGAGTAAATACTGGAGTTTCAGACCTATTATGAATTATGCATCTGTGTTGGTTTTTGCACGTAGGTTAATGGCAAACTCAGACAGTTTACTACATATGGAATTGACAGAAAATTAGTCTTGCAAATTTATCATACAAATTTGGTGCTCATAAAAGCATATTTTCTCAGATCCTGTGAAAATAAAACATGTCCTATCTAGTAAATCGTGGAATGAAAAACAAAAAAGCGATGAAGTGAGCATGAGAAAGAAATTGAAAATTCGGACTGAAATAACATACACTTTAATTCCATTTGGAAATCAGGACAGAGAGCAATAAATTACAATATTAGAGCTCCGACCGCTCCCTACAAATCATTGCTGTAAAAACAAAACTCTACAGATAATACAAATACAAGAATGTGAAAGGCAGTGGCTGTTTTATTTAATGTCACAAAGAGCAATTAAAAAAACTATTTATTAATCTCAATCGTTGTTTACATTTTTAATGGTATAATTGATGAAAATTTAAATATTTCTAAAAATAAATAATTAAATAAAATATTGGTGGGCTGATTTAGTATGACTTTTCATTATTCTTCATTACTTCCAATATTTCATACAATAGGCAACGAATACAATAGTTTTCAACATGTACCGCATGTTCCAGACTGATTGCAATAGAGATTATGGAAAAATAATAGTTTCTTTGCATGACTCCCTGTACATGGTTTTGGCAAAATATGCAAAAAAAATCTCCTTCACCATAGCACACATTCTTGTTCCCTTTTACAACACGGAAAGAGAGATAAGCTTGGGAATGTATGTCACTGTACATGTGAAATAGCAAAGCAACACTGTTGCCTCTATACTATCTAGAAAAAATGTGAACGAATACTCATTTAAGTGCATGTAATATTTTATTTTAGTTACTGCCAGAATGTTTATTCTTCATTATAAAGCTTGCAGGAGTCCAGTTGCCAACAGTTATCCAATGACTCCTGCAAAGGTAAACTCAGTAAAAACTGTAGCAGTTGTATACCGGGACCCTCACTTGTTGATATTACAGTGGGAAGCTATGTTTTTTTCTGACTCTCAACATGCTATTCAGCTACTATAAAGTAGGCTGTTTTCGACCCACGTCACGCATCACCACCTTTATTAGAAACTAATTGCAACTATTGAGGCGCATAATTCACTAAACCACTGCTGTGTCAGAGTATATGGGCGATACAATACACATCTGTTGCAAAACAATGCTAGGATCAGGATTGCTCAGGAACCAGCGACTGTTCCTGGCACTCAGAGAAATCTCATACGTAAAGCAAACATTGGGAATTCAGCAATGAATGCCTTTTCTATATTTGCTTTGCTGTATTTAATTGCAAGCAATAAAAGGGCATCTATTAAATAGGGGACCTGGAGCTTCGCCCCAAGGTTGTAACCAATGCTACAATGTAATTTATAACAAAACCCAACTGGAATTTAACAGTACAAACATATTTGGTGAGAATTGGGTTGACATTCTGTGAGCACTTCTTCAAATGTATCAACTCGGATCTGAGTATTCATTGTTAAAATTTTATATATATGTATATTTATCATTGACTTAAACTGCTCAAAGCTGAGCTAAATTACATAGTTACATAGGCTAAAAAAATACTTAGGTCCATCAGGTTCCTGCCTCTCTCACATCTGTTTTTGCTGTTGTTCCAAAAGAATGCAGAAAAAAACCAAACTATTTTGCAACAAACTAGAAAAAATTATTGACCCCCTGAGATTAAAGCTATTGAAGTTGGTGTACATGTAATATTAAAAAACAACAACAACAAGCCTACATGTATTGGACATTGCTAGTTAAGTGTTTCAGCACTTTGCAAAGCAATGTTTATTCCCTTGTTGAAAAAGGTGTAATTCCCTAGCCTGTCAAAATGGTGCAATTGACAGTTGAGGGCACCAAAACCACTTCAACATATTTAATTGTTAGTTATTGTGTTTAATATCAATGGGCACCAGTTGCCATATCGCTACTAATTGGTTTTCCTACTATTTGATTATATATTCCCTACCTGTTCTATGTTAAATTTTGTATTTATTGTGTATTAATATTGTTTTTGTATTTTATTGTACCCTAATGTAACAATGCAATGATTTGTGGACCCAGGACATACTTGAAAACAAGAGAAATCTCAATGTATCTTTCCTGGTAAAATATTTTATAAATAAATAAATATTTAGTAGAGATTCTCAGCAAAGGGAGCCTGAAGCCCAGCCTTCAAAGATAAAACGGTGGAGACGGAGTTATACTTCTGACTTGTGCCATACCAATTCATACCAGGGATTGGAGCAGTGATTGTCTGAGAATGTTGAGTAAACAATTTAGTAGTGATGCAGAACTTGGAACCCCATGGACTTCAGCCATCCATAAACATTTATATCGGTTTTATTTATTTATTTTATTACCTGCATTTAGAAAGCGCCAACATACTCTGCAGCGCTGTACAATTGGGAAAAAGACAATACAATATAAATAGACCAATAAAAGAGGTAGAGGGGCCTACCTGTGAGTTTACAATCTAAAGGATTGACGTGTTTATGGTGCCTACAGTGTTTCTTTAACAGAAGCCCTCAAGAGAGCCCTTGTATGTTTTGATACAAAATAAAAAAAAGAAAACACGGGCTGGCAAATTTTAGAGAAACAAGAAACTTGCTGCTCTGGCATAATATTTCCAGTTATGTTTTCATTTTACCATAGTTTACTATGACGTGAGCAGACTCTCTAAAGTTAGCAGTATGACGTGCACTGATTCTGAAATCTATTATTTTAGTCCACCCTATACACATATAATACACTTTTGTTTCTTTGTTTTGCTTGTTGTTGTTTTTTTAAAGCTTATGCATTGCATTTTTAACCATATGTAAGTTTAGAACACAGTTTTTTTTTTAGTTTTTGATCAAAGCTCATTGATTCTATTCTGCTATTTCATTATGTATTATCATTAAAGTTAGATCATTTCTATAATCAGTGTTCTTATGAATCATAGAATCGTTATCATATTACTCTTTGAAGTGTTGTAAAGTGTACTGATGCACTAACCACAAAATTAGCTTGAATTTTTTTTTTTTTTTTATTGATAACTATTCACACAAAGAAAAAGCACAAACACATGTAGGGCCAATGATAAAGTCACAATCTTGTCATTTTAGCATATATTAATTTGATAACATATGCCTTTTTTTCTGTTACTTTATCTCTTAGATTGTACCAAGCTACTACAGTGCATGAGAACATAAAACACGTGATGATAAGCAGAAAGCAAACAGATTAGACAGTCAACAATCAATTAGAGTTATCACTTGTGTATTAACAGTGTAAATAAGGTAAGGGAAACAAAATATGGGCAGTGCTATTGCTTTTCTCTGATCATCTATCGAAAACAGAGTGCCCCCACACTGTCATACACAAGACTGACAACAGGTTTTGTGCCATCAGCTGCCTGGTAACTAGCGGACATTGACCCTATGTACAGCACTTCTACAGACATTCCACAGCTTTTATTGATTTAAAGGAAAACAACAGCTTAAAGGTATGCAGAGGGGCTTTTACTTTTTTTTTGTAATTTTTTTTTTTTTTTAAATTCTTTATTTTGTAGTGGAACAAAACAAAGAGACATGCAATGCCACAACAGCTGTTGCGAGCCTGTCGGTCAACATTTGGCATACATTAACTCTGCACATTTTATATTATATTGTAGAATAATCACAAGGTAAATCAACATGTTAGCTACGAGACAAGGCAGGTATGGAACTGAGTCAGATTAAACATACTGACATTTGTGTTTAAGATTATGTAGAAACAAGCTTAAGTGGGACATTTCCTATTTCTCGACTTATAAAGAGACAAGGCTTGAGATGTCTAGCAACTATGAGCTTCATCTTACTAGGAGACACCCCTCAGCGTCAGTTTTGGACTCTATAAGGGTGTGGGCATGAAAATGCATGAAGGCCGGCAAGGTTGTTGTGAGATACCACTAGCAAAAACAGGAAAGCAAAAAAAGAAAAAACACAATATTCATAAGGTAACATCGATCTCATGCAAAATGTATAGCTATGCTGCTCTCTGCTAGTATGCTGCTCTCTGCACGAGTCCCATAGTGTCTCCTTCCTTCAGAAGTCACAGCCCAGGCCTGTATTGATTATATCTTGTTGTATTGATTATAATGCCTGGAGTACCCCGCCACAGGCCCTTCATTCAGTGTTAAACCATTTTCAAGCAGTTTAACAGGGAGTAAAAGATCCCTAGCCACCGACAGCCCCCCCCCTAGAGCGGAGGAAAGACTGAAGCAGAAACTACACACTTCCCTCTAGTGATACCAATTTCTACCAGCAATGAGTGGTACAATAGGCTAAAAGTGGTCAGCTGACATTTTCAGCCAATTACAGCTGTACATTGCTTCTCAGGCTAATGCTTCCACATAACACAGTGAGGATTGACTGCTGGCGACTCTTGTTTAGCATTAAACCCTTAAAACATTTTTTTAACAGGGGACTCCATACACTAAAACCACTTCAGTTTGATAAAGCAGTTACAGTGCCTACAGTGTCCCATTAAGCAAATAAAAAAATATAAGTGAGAAACTCATTCCATCTACAACAATAGAGACTATCCTTTATGTTCACAAGCAAATGCCTCCCTGGGTCAATAATCTACTTGTGTTTAAATTGATTGCTGTCACGGTACATATCCTGCTTTGCTATAGATTATCCATAGTTTTGTTTTAGTAGTGTTTGCTTTACCTGCAAATATGTATTTTCCATGTTAGGGAATTCTATGTATTTGTACCTATTGTTCCATTCCAGAAGATTACATTTTCTATAGAGCCCAGTTAGTACTCATTAAAGGACCACTATAGGCACCCAGACCACTTCAGCTTAATGAAGTGGTCTGGGTGCCTGGTCCAGCTAGGGTTAACCCTTTTTTTTTTATAAACATAGCAGTTTCAAAGAAACTGCTATGTTTATAAATAGGTTAGTCCAGTCTTTAAAGCCTCTAGTGGCTGTCTCATTGACAGCCGCTAGAGGCGTTTGCGTGCATCTCACTGTGAAAATCACAGTGAGAAGACGCAAGTGTCCATAGGAAAGCATTATGAATGCTTTCGTATGAGACTGGCTGAATGCGCGCGCAGCTCCTGCCGCGCATGCGCCTTCAGCCATAGAGGCGGAGCCGGAGAGGAGGAGGAGAGCTCCCCGCCCGGCCCTGGAGAAAGAGGTAAGTTTAACCCCTTCCTCTCCCCAGAGCCCGGCGGGAGGGGGTCCCTGATGGTGGGGGCACCCTCAGGGCAGTATAGTGCCAGGAAAACGAGTATGTTTTCCTGGCACTATAGTGGTCCTTTAAGCTCTGGCCCAAAATATTGTGCTGGCTGGGTCCAATTACAAAATTGTTCCCCCTTGCAAAAACTCACTGCCTAAAGCCTAGTCTGCACATGTAATTAGCATTACACACTTATGGCTAATGAGCCACACACACATATACACACAGGTATAATTAGCCATATATTTATAACTATCTACCCAGATCACTCACACAAACCTAATATGCATGTCTCTAGTGTGATTTTGTCTAATGAGCTACTTAGTCAAACTCACACTGGAGACATGTGTGTGTATATGTATATGTATGTGAGAGAGAGAGAGAGAAACACACATACATACATATACACTAACACATACCTTGACAAAAGAAGAAAGCTTTTTAACAGTATGTAAAAAAAAAAGATATATTTTGCAATTCATCTGTCAAATCGCCACAACTTATTTGAACTAACTAATGAGTGAAATAACCGTATATCTGTACACAAACTGCCTGTGTAGCAAGGCATATCAAAATTTTATATAATGCAATCATATTACATTCACTGTAGTACCTTGGTCTGTGTATTTGGAGGGTTTTGGGTGTTTTTTTTCCTTCATATTTTTCTCATAGTAAACATGTACCTTTATTTGACATGTCAGCAAATAATTTAGTTTAATATGTTATTTTTTTTATCTTTAAATCATGCTATTAGCCAAAAAGTGAAATGTTATCTCTTAATAACCCTCTAAAACAACTTTCCCACTTACAAATCTATAATATCCTGGCTGTGATCTTGTTCCCTTTTTAAGAACTCCATGCACAATATATGCCACTGGTTTTGGCACCATGGGAGAAAAATGTTTGAAGATTATTGAAGACAGTTTGGCTGTAGTTCAGCTGGCCTAGTTGCTTTACAGACTTAGTTGTTTGTTGCTTTTTATATGCATACTTTATTTTATAAATCCCTTCTTGGCACAGAAGGAAAGATACTTAAAATGTTTGCGCAGTACTTTTCCTAACATTACCTTTTCCTTACTTTTCCCTTACCAGCCAACAAACAGATTTCATTATTCCGACATTTTGCTCCACATTCTTATTTGTGTACCTATAATACAATTTTGAGTTTTTCTAGTTCACTTTGTCTGTGTGCATTTAAAAAAAATCTAATTTAGATTTTTTTATTTTATAATTTATTGTCTTATTTGAAAGCAACATGCTACCTTTCGATGGACATCAATTTTAATTGTTCCTCAAAATAGGTTAGCGTTCAAACTAAAATAAATTGATCCAGATGAAAATGGGTAGAACATTTGCTTAAAGATAGAGTACAAAGAGTTTGTCATTAACAGCAAATTTCAAGCTGGACAAAAGTGGTAAGTGGTGTCCCTCAGGGTTCTGTTCTGGAGCCACTTCTATTTAACATATTTATAAATGATCTTGAAATAGACATAGAAATCCATGTCTCAGTCAGAGGCATAACTAAAAACCATGGGGCCCCAGTGCGAAAATTGCCCTGGGCTCCCACCCTGTATGCCAATTCCTGCCCCCCTTCATCAAACCCCTGTCTACCCTGTCATCAGACCCCTGCCCCCCTTCACCAAACCCCTGGTTACCCCTTCAGCAAACCCCTCGCCACCCCTTCATCAATCCCCTGCCCCCTCCATCAATCATCTGCCCCCTTCATCAACACCCTGTCCCCTTCATCACCCCCCTGCTCCACTTCATCAATACCTTGTCCCCTTGATTAATACCCTGCCCCTTCATGAATACCCTGCCCCCTTCATCAAACTCCTGCACCCTTTCACTAACACCCCTGCGCCCCTTCAACAAAACAAAAAAATATTTAATAAAAAAAAAAAAGGAAGAACAAGCACTCAAAGGCCAGCCCTCGGTAATGAATGTTCAAGCAACTTACACCTTAAATTGATGTGAATAAGGGAGAAAAACACACAAGAAAGATTTAGGAATTGGTATAGGCAACACTAGGCAGCAATGTCAACCAGCAGTTACTAACGCGCTTCAAAGTGTATATATATTTTGGTTTTTTTCATGTTTTGGATCAACAGCAAAACCAGATGTGAGAAAGGCTGAACTTGATGGACACATGTCTCTTTTCAGCTCTGTAGCTATATGCAATTGTATTATCTTCTATTTAGCTAGTACTCTCCTTTACTTGATTCTTTTGATTTGTTTTCTCATGCTATAAGTCTCATTGATTATATTCTATACATTTATTGTGAGACTTATTATGGCCCATGTGTCCAAGTTAAAGAAATTGACAGGAGCTGTTCATATTGGTAGGCATCAATAGGAACAAGACTAGTTTTCTTGTGCATAGTGGCTTTATATGTATAAAGAAAAGGGATAATGCTTTTGTACTATTTTGATTTTCTGAATGTGTAACTCATATATCACATAGCATTACACTATAATTCACATATTTCTTTATCATGTCTTTTGGGTGGTTGTGTTGTATTCTGTATACTTTACTCTTATCTTACAGTCATTTATGTACTTTGGTTCGCAGCAATGCTTAAACGATTGTTTGCAAAATTAATTGTCTCATTTAATGCAATGAAGCATATATTTGTTACAGGAAATTAATCTCTAATCTACTAAATTAAATGTCCACTCATAAAAATCACCCCACCATATTCCTATGATACCAAACAAGATTTTTTCGCTTGATTCTAGTCATTACAGCTAGAAAGCTCTTTCTTTTTTTTAATTTATCTATTTCTAACTAAAAACATAAGACAAAGTTGCTTTCTCTTCATTTTTCGTTTAGTTACTTTGGACTTCAATTTAAAATTCACTTTCAATTCTCACCGTAGTGAAGTTTTCTTACACAAATTTCAAACACTTCTCTTGGCTGGCTCTGTAGATTGGGTTGGTGGCGCAGATCTCTGATGCAATGAGTGTCCTCAAGGTTATCAATGTGGGCAGTTTATGAAATACAGATTAACCCCTTAAGGACACATGACATGTGTAACATGTCATGATTCCCTTTTATTCCAGAGGTTTGGTCCTTAAGGGGTTAAAGGGACATTATAGTCACGCAAACAACTACAGCTTATTGAATTTGTTCTGGTGAGTAGAATTCTTTTCAGAGAAAATGCAGTTTTTACATTACAGCCTAGTGATAACTTCACTGGCCACTCCTCAGATAGCTTTTAGAGATCCTTCCTGGGTCATGGCTGCCTAAAATGCATCCAAACATTCAGTATCTCCTCCCTCTGCATGCAGACACTTAACTTTCCTTATAGAGATTTGTTGATTCAATTCATCTCTATGAGGAGATGCTGATTGGCCAGGGCTGTGTTTGAATCATGCTGGCTCTGCCCCTGATCTGCCTCTTTGTCAGTCTCAGCCAATCCTATGGGGAAACATTGTGATTGGATCAAGCCACCACTTCTGATGATGTCAGCAGACTGCTTGTTTTTCTGAGGCAAACAGCATGCAGATCTACACCTTCAGGCTTGAATATAGTAAGATTTTGCTATATTTTTCGAGGCATTAGGGGCCCAGGGGGGCTAGATGGTAGTTTTAACACTATAGGGTCAGGAATACACATTTGTGTTCCTGACCCTATAGTGATCCTTTAAGGAACAGCACACATATTAAAATACAGTTTACATTTTACAAGCCTGGTTATACTATATGGTCATATCATGCTAAGCCCACCACATGGTGTTCTTAACTTGGCTTAATACGATAATGCCATATGGTGGAACTAAATCCCCATATTGTTTTTCTAAGATAGGTGATTTTAAGCAACTTTGTAAACTGCAAACTGCACGTTTTTGTGTGTGTGCGCACTGTTCCTTAATCTGTACCACTGCTAAAAAATGCATGTTGGTGGTATGCCCCCAATTTCACTATTTCTGTGACCGATATATGGTCAGTTCCTTGACAATGAGAAGATCCTCACTACATAATTACAATAGCAAGATAATCACTGAGAGCTGAACTCTCCTGAACTATCATTATGGAACATATTCATGCCATCTTAATTTAATTTACTGTCTCTTTATTAAATGATCCGATGTTGTCCTTAAATGCATAAATTCATGGTAATCGAATATCATCTAATGTACATTTTCTATTATATTTTTCAACATTTAATCATTCCATGTAATTGGCATAGGAGTCCAGACATTAGGTGGGCGGAGTTGATTTTTTACGGGCGGATTATTCTTATTTACTAAACCTCGAGTTGTCCAGGACAGCAAATTTAAAATCTATAAGGATAGCTAGAATAATCTACAACATTACTACATATTTTGCTTAATACGTTCTTTACTGAACTTCTATCACATATGGGAGTTATAAGCCATTTTCCCAAATATGATCTTTAACTAATTTAGTAGCTGACTCCCTAATTTGATATTCTTATATATGGCAATCCCACATAAAGATACCAAATTAATGAGCTATATACTAAACGGCTTAAAGGTTTAAATTAAAAAGGGCCTTTCCTTAAAGGGACACTATAGACAGCCAGACAACTTCAGCTCATTTAAGTGGTCTGGGTACAGAGAAACTGCAATATTTACATTGCAGCACTAGATGCACTTTTGTGATTTTACCGGCCACTGGAGGCCCTTCTGGGATTTTTCCGGACTTTAGGTATCCTAAATGATGCTGGACGTCCTCACACTCTGCATGAGGACATCCAGCGTCAGTGAAAACCCAGTTATGACCAGTATATAGCTGAGGTAAGGGTTACTGTATTACCCAGAGAAAATCAAAATACTAACTTTTCCTATTGTGCTGCTGACACCTCCCTCTGCAGCTCCAAGCAGGTAAAATAATCCAGAAAAATTTAAAAAATGAGGGCAGCGCAAACAATTGCAAATGTGCACACCAAGTGCTAGAAAAAGATTTATTTTTAAGGACATAAGGTACAAACATTTTGGGTTATCTGCTTTATCAATGCATGTCCCCTTTATCTATGCATTTCTAAGAGCTCCATTTTATTGGTGTGTCTGTGTGTATAATAGATCTCCATAGCAAAAAAAACTCACAGTAATGTGTCCAAAATACAATAAATGTGTTTTCTAATTAGTCTGTTTAAATAAGATACAATGTTCTTGTTCTAAATTACATTTTAGTTGGCTGAACTGTTATTAGTAAGACGCCTAACATTTCTCAGAACAGCCACACCTGTGGCTGCACTCTGACTTACACCACTAAATTTACAATGCCCCTCTTTGACCATTTCAAATGTTGGGATATATGTTTACTATAAAATTAACTCTCTGTTTTAATTGGACAAACCATGATTAAAATTTATAAATACACAATCGCTTTGATTTAGTTATTCACAAACAATTTTTTTTCTAAGAATGAGCTTTTCCTATAATTATATTTAGAAGAAAAAAAAAATTAATTGCAGCAGCAATTTGTAAAGTTAATTTATGAGCCCAATGACAATAAAGCATCAATGTGCAGGAACAATGCTGGAGAAAAATAACCTTTAAAGGCAAAACAAATATGTTTTACTGCTGTTTATAATGGGACAACTAATCATCTGACCTTGGCCTACACCACAGTACCACACGGTTCATGTATTCGAAATTCCTTGCTTGACAGGGAAATAACTTGATGCAATAACTTGACAAAAAATAGATGTCTCATAACAATTATTATATGGAGCTTTTATCTAATGTTGATTATTTTCACACAGGACTCATTCCTAATGGAGACATAGACATTGGAGGAACATTTTGGTGAAGATATTACTAGGAGGAGCTGCTGGTTGTGATAGAGTGAGTGGAGGACCTAGAGTGAGTGGAGGACCTGCTGATGGTAATAAAGTGATTGGAGGAAAACTGCAGGTGGTAAAATAGCAATTGGAAAATCTGTTTGTGGTGGTATATTAGGTTAAATAACTGCTAACCACTGAGACATCACAGACCACAATGAACGAGTCATCACTTCAAGAAAAGCCTGCCGTGGCCCTCTATTATCGAAATGCAAGTCAAACATTTTTAATGGCATTCCAGAATGAATGTAATCACATCCCTGATATAACACCTTTCTTAGGAGCATCCTATAGTTTGGCCACCGTGCTGGGCCTGCTCGGTAATGTCTCTCTGATATACGTCATTTTCCACCAAAGAAAGAAGGCTAATGTTACCCAAATCCTTATTGCCAACTTAGCATTATCTGACATGCTAGTATGTGCTTTCTGCTTGCCTATTACTGCCGTTTACACCATGATGGACTATTGGGTGTTTGGTTTAGGCTTGTGCAAAATCACCAACTTTGTACAGTGTGCCTCTGTTACTGTGTCAGCTCTGCTCTTAGTACTTATTGCCTTTGAGAGACACCAGCTCATTCTTCATCCCACAGGATGGAAACCCACCATCTATCAGGCCTATACAGCTGTTCTCCTTGTCTGGATTTTGGCCTCACTTTTGACTGTGCCATTTGTCTCATCTTTTGTTTTGGATACTGTTTTGCACAAAAACACATCTCAAGTCTTGGACTATTTAAGAGACAAGCCATTATGTATGGAAAAGTGGACATCACCACAGCAAAGATTAGTTTACACAATAGCTCTACAGCTTCTTCAGTATATTGTTCCACTCAGCTTTATTTTGGGTTGTTATGTCCGTATCTCTGTCCAATTACGGCGAAGGGGCGCTTTATTCAAGAAAAATGACCATCACATGAAAAGGATCAATCTCATGTTAGCCTCCATGGTTGGAGCATTTGCCCTGTGCTGGCTGCCACTTCATATATTTAACAACATTGTTGATTGGCACCATGAATTAATCTCTGTGTGTTATCACAACCTTATATTCGCTTTATGCCATTTACTTGCTATGATGTCTACATGTGTCAACCCAGTCATCTATGGTGTACTAAACAGTAATGTTAACCAGGAACTGAAGGTACTGTTTCAGAAATGCACAGGGAGACAAAGGAAGAGAGTAGAGGCATTGGACGAATTGGAAAAGCACCCTTTATCTATCATGCAGAGTGCTGCACTGCCAGGGTCCCTGAGTGTAAGTTATAACAAGACTGGGTGTTGACATTGAGGAGCACCATTTCACAGAGTGTGAGAAAGTACATGTTGGATGAATAGGAGGAAATGGAAGACAGCAATGTTCCAATATGTTAATTATGAGACTAATGAGAGAAATATAGGATTTCTTTGTTGCTCTACATGTCCAGTCCAGGTCTCAAAAGAAGCACAGGAACAAAAAAGCACTTTCAAGGAAGAGGTATCTGTCATGCTGTTTGTAGCACGTTGTATGGTTTAGAACATTGTACTCAGAGGAAAAAGCCTACTGAACATTTGCTTTTTTAGAGTGGGTTTTGTTCACCACCGTTTTATTTCACTACTAACTTTTCAGTTCTTGAACAAAAGAAAACAAACAAACAAGCAAAAAATTGTAGTGGACACATGGTTCTTCAAAAATTACCGTATGCATGTGAGATAAACTGCAAGTGGACTTGAGTTACATCAATGTCCTGTCTCTTGACCAAAGAGGACCTGAAACACCGCATTAGTCCTTAATGTACCATTAACATTTTATGCAGGGGGTTCCTTTCTTTTCCAGAGATGTATGAAACAATACACCCTGATCTTTTTATAGTTCTGTAATAATATGGGCCTAACACTTTGTTATATCATATTATTAAAATTACGACTTACTGCTGATTGTAGGTACAACAGAAGAGATACATTTTCTTGTAAAATATACTATCTATGCCATTGGAATAATAGATGGTAAGGCTGACTTCGAGCACACATAATATCTTAAAACTTGATGGACACATTATGTAGACATTTTGCAGACTTTCAATTAATATCGCTATTTAATTTTGTATTGCTTTTGGTAACAGCGCCTGGTCAATATTCAGTACTACAATAACACCTTATTATACATGACAGTGGGTGATATTTAAATAGCTATATTCTATGTAATTCCTCAAATGTTTACTATACTTCTGTTTGAGTTTATGCACAGTGTTTCTGTCTGTACATTTTTATGATATGAACCTGTTTTTTTATACCTGTATAAATGGTTATTCACAAATTTATTTTCATGTTCTTGTATTTGAATAATTATGTTTCAGTTTGGACAGCAAACAAGTACAGTTTTTCACTGTGATAGAAAATTCTGCAGCAAATCTGTGTTCTTGGCAGCATGCAGTTTGTCTATTTCTCGTGTCATGTTGGCCGTTTACAAAAAATTGAGAGTTGGTTTATTGAGAAGTAACCTGCAAAATGTAGATTAGAAATAGGCTATCGTCCTTTTCCTTGTCTCTCTTTCTCTGTCATATGTCCCTTCTATTTTCCTAAATATTCCACTTCCTCCTCTATCTGATATGTTTTCAGTATCTCGTTGAAATTTCCATAAACATGTGATAAAGATAATAGCATGGCTCTGACATCAGTAATTATGCCATAGGACTACACTCATAGCTTTCTTAAAGGGAACTCAAAGCACAATAACCCTGAAGAGCCTTCCCTACATTATTGTTGCTTACAGCTGCAGTGATTTCACTGCAACAGTGAGTTCACCCCTATGACACAGGGAGAAGTTTTGGTCCTCAAAGGAATGCTATGGCAATAACATAGCTGTCTTTTACTGTCTCTCTTACAGATAAATGGGACATATAAATCAAACAAGTCACAAAAGAAAAGGTAAGCAAAATTTTGTAAAATACTTATACACAAACATAGACAAATATAAATTCCAAAAAGGAAAACCATAAACAATATAGTGCAAATATTATATGTACTAAAAAAATCCAATAAACAGCATCATTCCACTTAATGATGGCTACTCACAAAAGTAGAGTGGATACGCGCCACTCAGACTATCAGACTTTGGGAGGATAAGCCCCTTGAGCGTTTGGGTCCTGTAACAGGTAAATCCAAAATCAGGCAGGGCTGTATTTGTCGCGAGGCTAGCAAGGCATTTGCCTTGGGCAGCACTTTCCAGGGGGTGGCAAAAAATGCCGCCCCCAAATGCCCAGGCAAATGGCTTATAAGCCTCGTTTTAGAGGCCTTTGGGCCCCCCTGGGGCAGGCAGCGAGGGAGCTTTGGTCTGTGAGCGCTCCCTGCTCAGCTCCCTCGCGCCCTCCAGTAATGCCGGCAGGAGGGCACGCAAAGCAGGAAGTGAGGGAGCTAAACTCTCCCTGCTCAGATTACTCTGTGGCGCGCGAGGGAGCTGAGCAGGGAGAGCTCAGCTCCCTTACTTCTGCTTTGCGCGTCAACCCACCTGCCTGGCTGCCCGTCTTCCTGCCTGCCCAGCACCCTTAACAGCCTGGCCACCAGCCAACCCAGCAGCCACACTGGACCCCAGGTAAAAAAAAAAATCCACCAGCTCTCCCAAAAGTGGGGAGGCTGGGTGGATTTAAATTAAAAAAATAATAATCTGTAAATGTGTGGGGGAAAGTGTGTGTGTCTGTCTTGTCTGTCAGTCTGTGTGTGTGTGTGTGTGTCTGTCTGTGAGTGTGTGTCTGTCAGTGAATGTGGGTGTGTCTGTCAGTGTGTGTCTGTGAGTGTGTGTGCCTCTGTCAGTGGATGTGGGTATGTCTGTCAGTGTGTGTGTGTCTTTGAATTAGTGTGTTTGTCTGTCAGTGAATGTGTATATGCCTGTCAGTGTGCTCTGTGAGTGAGTGTGTTTGTGTGTCTGTCAGTCAAGTGATTGTGTGTGTTTGTCAGATTGTGTCAAATCAGTGAGTGTGAGTGTGTGTGTGTGTGTATGTCGGTGTATTTGATAGTATGTGCCTGTCTGTGAGTGGGTGTGTGTCTGTCAGTCAAAGTGTGTGTTAGTCTTTAAGAAGAAGAACTGTGGCTTTGATAGGCAGGGGTGAGACAAATTTATATTAGGGGGTGCCCGAGTTCCGTCATGCTTAGGGCAGCACGGATCCAAGATACAACACTGAAATCAGGACAAGGATGGAGATGACTGACAGCTATCCAGAGATATCAATTATATTTATTAAATTATATAAAATTTAAAAGCATCGGCGCTGGAGTACTGTATCAATCTGAGAAGGTCTTGTGTACATACTGTTAAACAGTTGTAGTTACTTTCCTGGTACAAAGCATTCAACATGTAACCTGAGCCTTCTCTCCTTCAACATGCTTCAGTTTCAACTTCTCACCCGCTTCAGGATTCTTGACGTCACACAACGCATTTTGTCCCCCGCCCAAGGGGGATTTGACAAATGTGAAAGTCCATCCTCTAACATCTCTTTATAAATACACTGGCAAACTTATAGTATTATAACCCTCAAAAATTGGGCCAATGTAACAGAAAAAAGAAAAAAAATTATATAATTCATTATTGATGTCTACACATTTAATCTAAAAATCAAGTTTCAATTAATGCAATTGGTATTCATATAGAGACAAGGAAATATAATTATGTACATCAATAAATAATAGGATATCCCTTCCAAATGACTAAATAAAACATAGATCGTAAACAGTGGCGTACACATGACCCATGGGGCCCCTGGGGTCCAGTGGTGCTGGTGGGCTCCTGGGCGGGTGGTCGGTCGGGCAGGCGGGCGTGCGAGGGAGCACTCAGTGCTTCCTCTTCAGCTCCCTCGCGCGCCGCGTAGGGATGCCGGCGCTGGAAGATGACGTCATCTTCCGGCTCCGGTATCAGTGCGGTGCGCGAGGTAGCTGAAGAGGAAGCACTGAGTGCTCTCTCGCGTGCCCGCATGCCCGACCGGCCACCCGCCTGCCGGGTGACAGCAGGGCCAGCCTCGGGGGGCCCTGAGGTGGTCGGCTCCTGGGCCCCCCAGGGGAAGAGGCTGGCCCTGTGGGTACATACCGGGTCGCATGGGCGGCCGGGCCCCCTGGTGGGCCGGGCCCGGTCGCAGCCGCAACCCCTGCGACCCTGGTATGTACGCCATTGATCGTAAAACCAAGTAAATAAGAAAGCACTATTCTAATACTGTCCAACACTAAAAACGATAACTTTTAATTCCCAAGAACAGGGCTACATTGTCTGCAATGTTAAATGGATCTCCTAAAGGGATTCATATCTTTTTAAAATATTTAAAATATTAAATAAAACCATCCTATGTATTGTACATAAGGAAACAATTATATAAAGCAGGGAGTTAAAGCTCTACATCTCTGAACAGTGAATAAAAAAAATGCAAATATAGTTTATAAAATAAGTAGCATAATGCAGGAAAAAAATATAAAAAGATTTTTTTTAGTACATACAATATTGCACTTTATTTTTATGTTTTTCTTTTTAAAAATGTACATTTGGCTATGTGGTAATTCACAAATTTTATAAGTATTTCACAAATTTGTTTTGCACACTTTTTCTTTTGTGATTTGTTTGATGTGTTAATTTAGGAAATTAACCTGTTTTGGTACTGCATGGGATGTGATTTATCAATCTGAAATTTGTTTAAAATAGGTTTTAGTGTATAAATATTGCTTGCATTGTTTAGAGCACTTTGTATTACATATCACATAATTTTTGTGCCATACATTGACCTTATCTTTTGATTACTTTTGGACATACTTTATGTCTGCACTGTACTTGTTATTCTGACTTAATAAAGACCTGCACAGTTGTCTTGTGAGCCCGAACCTTGTTGACACAGTAAAAACTTCCAAATGGGCACAAAGGAAGCATGACTTCTGACCACTTACTTCCCTTTTTAAAATACCCTTCAAAAACATGCTTGTGACTCTGCATATATGTGGGGGGAAAGGGGTAAGAGGCTTAAGAGATACAAAAGGGGTAAGATGCTTAAGAGATGTTAACCTATATATATATATATATATATATATATATATATATATATATATATAGTGTAGACTGGATTAGCCATATTAGCCCAGTAGACAAGATGCCAAAATACCAGAGTATTGCAATATGCAGTGATAACTTTTTTACTGGACTAACATAATATTTCAAAGACAAGCTTTCAAGAGTTTTCCTCTGTTCTTCAGTTCTGAAGCAATATTGATCAATTGATTAACACTTAAAACAACTGATGTTAGAGAAGGGGATGGAGAGGTGGTGAGTGGGGTGTCACATATATGGGTTAACAAGGGTTATGAGACACACAAGAGATAAGGGGTGTGGGCGATAAGTGTTGAGATACACACAAGGTGGAAAGGGGTATTAGGTGAAACACATAAGATCAGGAGATTCACACAAAGTGATTTTGGGGGTGAGAAGCGACATAGAAAAGTTAACAATTTCCAGGGGGCAGGGGGTTACCAACATACATGTCTGGGGGGGTACAGGGGGTATGCCAACATACATGTCAGTCTAGGTACCAAGTGATCTTGGTACACCTATTCCCAGCTCGGTAGAATAAATGATGAATCAGCTCAAAATCACGGGATACTTTTTTGGACATGGGATCCAGACTAAGGAGATGATATGTCATTGGTCAGTAACACCGGCCAGGGAGACAGGCACAATTGAAGTATAGAGTGTTTGGTCCTAACAGGGATCCAACACTTCTCTTCCTGAAGCACCCCCCATGCCTGGATGCATGCCTTGATGCAATGAGGTCACCACACCTGGGCTGTGAGACCTTTAGAAACCTTGCAATAAAGTGACCAGAGACTCAACTGACACCGAATCTGCCAGCACAGGAACAGGGTACACATTGGGATTAGGAAACAAGAATCATTCTGTGTGTTTTTCACTGGGATATACATTACCAGAAAAATGGGACTTCTAGGCTGCCTTAGGCATTGTCTTACCAGCGCTCAACATCCCGAAGTCCAGGTAAGGTCCACAACAAAGTAACCATATAGGCTAGTACCATGGCTACCAACTGTGGCAGAACTCATGTTTCTACTCATGTGTTTGGAGGGAGGCCTGTACTGGAAAGTTGTATCTGTTATGGTCTCTGGAATATTATATACATTTGTTACAGAGACACCCAAAGACATTTTTTATCTCCCACCCTTCTCCATAATCCTTATTTTTTATGCCTGTGTACCTATTCCCATAAGGGTGGAAAAGCATATTTCTAACTTATTTCACAATACAGAGCTATTTCATTTAGAGCTTTAGTGACTATCAGAGTGAAGAGTCTGGCAACGTTTTCAATTACAGGGTCAAAGCTAGAAGGACAGGGCACCCAGCCCATGGCTACAAATTGGTACAACTAAAAAGACAAAGGTACAATACATCTAAGAGACAATACACAATTTGACAAACAAATACAGGAAGACTTGAGGGCCTATTTTGGTGGGAACTTATTATTTAGATCAAGGGTAGGCAACCCACAAGTTATAGACTACAGCTCCCATAATGCTTTTACAGCCACAATTCTGGCAAAGAATCAGGGTTGATGTACTCCACAACATCTGAAGGAGTGCTGAAGGTTGCGTATCCCTGATCTAGATGGATAGGGGGAGAAACAGGAGCCGTAGACTGCAAAGGTGAGAATGACGTTAATACAGAGTGAGATGAGGGTATTGATTGGGTAAATTGAATGCATAAACCTACAATAAGTTCTTTTGTCAGTAGAGTAAGAAACAGACATATTGGGGTTTATTCACTGAATATTGTGAAGAATTGACAAGGGAGTTGCAAATTTTAGGTCAAATTAGCGAGCTTTAAAAAATTATTTGTCCGTGTTAGCCAATATATGTCAAGATATGCAGTTCTCTCGTTAATTATAAAACACATTGTTTTCATTTGGATTTTAAATTGTGTGCTGTACTGCAGAACGTACAAAATGCAAAGCTCTGTTTATATAGTAGTTTAACTTTCTAAATATAACTTAATGAAAGTATTTATCTCTAGGGTCTAGATCCTGGGAACAGTCTCATTGGATTAAGCCTGACTTGTCCCAGCAATTTTCATGTTTCCATCCTGCCAAAGGAAGCTTATGGCATTCCAAATGGAGTCAATTATATACAACTGTGAGTCATACAATGCATACTGTCAACATTGTTTGTTTATGAGACCCTCTTGATGGCAGATGTGCTGCTGTGTGGGAATCATAAATATATACAATAACGGACAATCAGCCAGGGATTGTTAAAAATATATATGTGACAAGATTAAGATGTATGATCTTTCAGATTGTCACTTTGACCACAAAGAAAAGAATATAAACTTTGAAGGAATTTGATAATGTAAAGGCAAATTCACAAAAATAAAGAACCATATGATTTAAGAAGAGTGAGGTGAGGTAAGAATGAAACAGATGCAACAACATCAGTGATGGATATATTCAGGGAAGGACAATGAAGCAGGCTTGGAGAATGCAGGCCACAGCTAGAGCAGAGATCGGTACTTAGAAACGCACATGTTGCACTGGCCACTGACAATAGGACTAATCTTAGGATAACGCCGGATACTTAATGACTTCAGGTAGTCTTGAGGGGTAGATGGGTCCAAATCTCATGTGGTTGCCTAAGTTCAGGATTACAGTGTTAAAAGATATTTGTTAAAAATAAATAAATAACTAAATAAATACATATATTTTCAGATGATTATTGTGCATCATTATTCCCCGGTTGTATTTTTGTTAATATAATATTGTAAAATTTTTATGTGTCATTATGATTATTCATTATATTGTTAAAAATTTTTTAAATTCCTCAATAAAAAATATTTGAACAAAATGTATTTGCTCACCACATTGTGTATTTGATTAATAAACTATAAACTGGGCTGGATTTACATGGCAGGTGCCTGGAGGCACAGAATTCTATAGCCCCCTACCCAGAGCCAGATTAAGAGCCCAGTGGGCCTGGAGCTGACAATTATGATGGGGCCTAATTACAGAATCTTATCGACCAAAAACACTAAAACAACCATACCTCCCAAGCATTATGTATCTGATGGAGATGGTGTTGGAGGGAAATTCAAAGGATGCAGCTATATGAAAACACATACTCTATGCTAATCTCTCTCTAATTTATGCTTTCATCTTTCAAGTAAATCAAGAACCCCTAACAGCAGTGTCCAGTGAAGCACGAAGTCAAAGGGAAGGGTAAAAGGGTGTGTCACTGACACAAATCACATGACCAGACCTGCCAAAAGGGGTGAACATGCCCAAAAAGGGGGCACGTCTGTCCAAAGAATTGGAAGGCCAGTCTGACATGAATGTTGTCCAACTAAGGGCATACTATGCAGGCAGCACCCAGAGCTTGACAAAAATCCATCAAATGATGCGCCTACTCTATGCTTTCTAAGGACTGTCCCCTAGCACTCACTAAAAAGGGACACTATAGTCACCAGAACAACTACAGCTTATTGTATTTGTTCTGGTAAGTAGAATTATTACCTTTAGGCTTTTTGCAGTAAACACTGTCTTTTCAGAGAAAATAACTCCACTGGCCACTCCTTAGATGGCTGCTAGAGGTGCTTCCTGGGGGCAGTACTGCCTAGTGTGCAGCACTGCCATTTAGTGTCTCCACCCTCTGCATGCAGACACTGAACTCTCCTCATAGAGATTCATTGATCAAATTTATCTTTATGAGGAGATGCAATTGGCCAGGCCAAACATGGCCAGGGCTATGTTTGACTTGTGCTGGCTCTGCCCCTAATCTGCCTAGTTGACAGTCTCAGCCAATCCTAGGGGAGAAGCATTGCAATTTGCTCAGACCACCACTTCTGACGATGTCAGCAGACAGAATCAGTTCAGAGGCAGAGCCAGCAGCTGCAAACTACAGAATACAAGTAAGATTTTACTATATTTAGGGAGGCAAGAAGGGGCCAGGGGGGCTAGATGGTGGTTTTTACATTATAGGGTCAGAAATACATGATTGTGTTCCTGATCCTATAGTGTTCCTTTAAGCAAGAGTATGTGAAGAGTAGTAAAGGTTGCCACCTTTCTCGGAAAAAAAATACCAGCCTTAATCATTTGTATAATTAGTTATGCGTGACATCACATGATGTAAATCACAAGGAGTGACATAAGAGAAAATTCTGTAAAGCAGTTTGATTCTGCTGAATAGAGGAATTGCTCCCAGTGTCTCCCTGTCTCCCAGTCTCGCAAGTCACCCAGTGTCTCAGTGTCCCTATGTATCACAGTGTCAGTGTCCCCATGTCGCCCAGTCCCCTACTGCAATTCTATTATCAATCATTGAAGGCTGACTGGTTTACCAAAGACATAAGAAGAGAATCCTTTAAGGTCCACATTCCCTAAATATCAATTTTCCCAAACCTTAAATTTAACCCTTCCCAAATACCTTAGCAAACTCTTTCCTTAATACCACATTTAAGCACTCAGAGCCTAATCATGAAAACCCCTGTACCTTAATCATAATTGTAAAAAAAAGAAATACCCTATGAAGTGCACCCCATTAATGTACTACCCCACTAAAGTACTATTTAGCACCAAAATAAAAATTACTTTTTTTTTTTTCCAGTTGACAATTTTTATTTTGTCTTAGAGCAAAAAGAAACATGGGGATACAGAATAAGGAAAGAGGGGGGGGGGGGAGGGAAGTACATTGCATGTTGGCTACACAGACAATAGCTATGTGTAGTCATATACATATAAGTGTGCATCATAGTTAGACATTTACATACATGTGTTCCTGGTTTTCGTGGTTTCCGGGGCTTCATTGGTTAGTTACAGAATTCCCCTTTTTATATATGTTTGGTACGGTGACGTCTGTTGGCGCTCTACGTGGCGCCTCTCGATTTATGTTTCAGGAGTCGTTAGACTCGCTAGGGTGGTCGTGGTTGGAAGGGGTGGTGTCTTAGCTCGTGATATGTTTAACCCACAGGTTGTGTGCTTCCTGTACCCCTTTTCGTGTTCCGAATTGTGCGTGAGCCATTTTTTCGTATTTCCAATTTTGGTTTACCTGTTTTACTAGGTCCTCTATGTGTGGGGCGAATGCTTTTTTCCAACGTCGGGATATCACTAGGTTGGCTGATATTAATGTGTGATATAGTATCAATTTGATTTGTTTCGGTAGTTTTTCTGGCAAGATGAAAAAGAGGCACATCTGAGGTGTGTCTACTCTTGGGGCTGGTAATATCTTCTGCAATATATTCGCTACCTCTATCCAAAATGGTCTGAGCGTGGTGCATGTCCACCAGATGTGTATCATTATACCCACGTCCCTCCCGCACCTCCAGCACATATTGCTGGTCGTTGGCCATATTCTGTGCAATTTATCCGGTACTAAGTACCAGCGGTATAAAATTTTGGGCTGTAGTTCCAGATGTGTGGCACATGCTGTAAGACCCCTATGGGCCGTGTATGCCCTCTCCCAGTCCCTGTCTGTTATTGTACCATTGATATCTCGTTGCCAGGACGATTTAACCTCACCTAGTGTATGTGATTGTTGCGCTATTAAGTTCTGGTATCCCCAGGACATTATTTTCTTGAGTGGTGTCGTTCCCGTGCTTTGTCATATGCGTCGGTGCTGTGAAATCCGTTCGTCTCCCTAGCCTGTCCAGTACGTAAGATTTGAGCTGAAGGTAGGAGAATAGTGCTTTAGCGGGGAGGTTGTATTTTTCCTGTATGTCGGGGAACGGTAATAGTCGCCCCCTGTCTATCACTTGGTACATGTGGCGTATCTCGTCTTTCACCCATATTTCCCAAGGGAATGTAGGGATCTCCAGTCCGATGGTGCGCATTGGCATAGCTAGGGGTAACGTCGGTTGTGTCACTAAGTCGGGTTTCATTGCGTTCCACATTCGCAGTAAGGTTTGGGTAGTTGGTAGGAGATCGTTTATTTCCTGGTTGTTCTGCGTCTGTTTCCACATGAGTGACCGGAGATCACCGTGTGGTGCTTTGCTGGCTTCGATCGTCACCCACTGTGGGGCGCCAGCAGGCCTGTTAATCTGTGCAATGTTATGTAAGTATGCTGCCCTGTAGTACGTTGTTAGGTTAGGAAGGCCTAATCCTCCTGTTTTGACAGGTCTATACAACGTCCCTGCTGCTACTCTTGCCTTTTTCCCTTCCCAAATGAATGAGTTAATGATATGTTGCATGTTTTTTAAGAACTGTTTTGGTATTGGTATTTGGAGCGTCCGGAAAAGATACTGTATCTTAGGAGTAAGTGTCATTTTGACTGCCGCTATACGCCCTATCCACGACAGGTATTTACCCTCCCATGAGTGCAAGGTGTCTGTAAATTCCTTCAATAGTCGGGTGTAGTTGTGTCGGAACAGGTGAGCTGGGTTTTTGGTTATTTTGATACCTAAGAATGTTAGGTGGTCGTGTCTCCAGTCTAGAGGGAATGCCCGTTCCAGTCTGTTCACTAGATCGCCACCTAATTTTATTCCTAGGGCTTGGGTTTTCGCGATATTTAGCTTGTAGTATGATACTGCCCCATACTCTTGGATTCTTGTTATCAGGGTTGGTAGGGAGATTAATGGGCGTGTTAGTGTTACTAGGACATCATCCGCGAACAAATTGAGCTTAAATTCGTTAGTCCCCATGTGTACTCCTCGTATGTCCATGTCAGCTCTAATAACTGCTGCCAGGGGTTCCAGCGCTAGAATATAAAGTAATGGCGACAGGGGGCACCCCTGTCGCGATCCATTAGTAATGCGTATTTGTTTGGATACAAACCCAGAATTTAAGACTCTGGCTGTGGGATGGGAGTAAAGTGCTCTGACGGCGTTTATGAAGGTTGGGGGGAATTTATATTTACCAAGTACCGCCTGCAGAAAAGGCCAGTTGAGCCTGTCAAAAGCCTTTTCCGCATCTAGTGACAGAAGTATCCCCCCCTCATCCTTTCCAGTCAGGCTGTATAATAGGTCAATTACCTTCCTGGTGTTGTCCGAGCCCTGTCTGCCTTTTGTGAATCCCACCTGATCGTCATGGATTAATGTCGGGATTATGTCAGCTATTCTGTTGGCTTGTATTTTTGCTTACAGTTTAATGTCTGTGTTGAGTAATGAGATTGGTCTGAAGTTTTGACTACATGTAGGTGGCTTCCCTGGTTTAGGCAGTGTTACTATGTGTGCACTCAGCATCTCCGCCGGTGGGTCCGCTTTGCGAGTGAGTGCATTGAATAAGTTTGCTAAGTGTGGGGCTAGAGTGTGTGCGAATTTTTTGTAGTAGTTGTTGGGGAACCCATCTGGGCCTGGGGCTTTCCCGCTTGGTAGATGGGATATGGCCTGAAGTACTTCTGTTACTGTGATGTCTTCCTGTACTGTAGCTATTTGTTCCGCCGTCAGTGATGGTAGAGAGATCCCCGCTAGGTACTTCTCTATACCGCTCATAGTTGGTTGGCTCGTGTCAACCTCAGTCTCCAGATTGTACAGAGATGAGTAATAATCCGCAAAGACATCCACGATGTCCTTGGGTGTCACCTTTTTTTCTCCTGTTTGATTGTGAATGAATGGGATCTTAGTGTTTACATTTCTGTGTGACAGTCTCCTGGCTAATAGTCTGCTTGCCCTGTTGCCCTGTACATATTGTGTCGTCCTAAGTTTTCTAAGGTGATACCCTGTTTTTGCCAGGTCGTGCTCTTTAATTTCCCCTAGTTTCTCCTGAATTTGCCGTTTAAGCTCAGGAGTTGGGGTCAGCTGGTTTTGTTTGTTGAGGTTATATAGTGAATCTTTCCGTCGGTATTCACCTGTGTGTTATGGTTGGTGCATGTGTGAGTTTACCGGCTGTTGCTGTGGCGTATAGGTTACTAGTTTACGTTACTTTTTTTTTTGTGTGTCCGTGTGTGTTATGGGCTTTGTGTTTTGGTATGCTTGTGGTTCAAGTGCACGTCAAGCCTTCCTGGCTTTTTTTTTTTATATTATTTTCCTGTGTACTTATGAGTGAATGTGTCGTGTATGTCTCTGGATGTTCGTGGTTATGCATGTAGTGCTGGGAATACTTGCGCTTCACTGTCCGCCAGACTTCAGGCTCTGCCTCAGTGTCCTCAGCGTAAGAAGAACTGTCTCTGTGTTAGTTCATTTTTTGTTCTTTTTCCATTCTGGTGGCATTCTTTGTGCCGCAGTCGCGTCTTTCTTCTCCGGGTTTGGCAGAACGTTCCAGCTGCGCAGCAGTTTGCGGCCTTCTTCCGGGGTATTCACTGTGGTCACCATTCCATTTCTTCTGATTAGGAGGCGGATAGGGAATCCCCACCTGTACTGTATATTGTTGTAGCAGAGGGTTTCAGTCGTTTCCCTGAATTCCTTTCTTTTTTGCAGTGTAGCCGCAGAGAGGTCTGTGAACATTTTGATATGTTTGTATTTTTGTGGTGGGTCGCCGCCCGTTCTCGTTGCTTGAAGTAGTGCTTCTTTAGCATGGAAGTAGTGTAAGTGAGTTAGCACATCTCTGGGGGTGTCTTGTGGTAGGAACGCCGGTTTTTGCACCCTGTGATGTCTATCCAGCAGTAGAATGTCAGCTGGCAGATCTGGTGCTATCGCTTTAAAGTACCCCATTAGGTATTCATGCAAATCTTGCTGCTTTACCTCCTCAGGGATGCCCCTGATTCTAAGGTTCTGACGTCTCGAACGGTCCTCTAGGTCCATGACCTTCCTCTGCGTGGTGTCAAGTTGTTGTTGCAGCTCTTGTACTTGTTCTGCCATAGCATTGTGCACTGTGGCTTGTTCCTCCACACGATTCTCCACCTGTGCCGTCCTGTCCCCCAGCTCCTGCATCTCCCTTTTCACTTCTCCTAGTGTGCCTTGCAGGGTTTCAAGAATCCTGCTGGACATGGTGTCTAGACACTTCTGTAGGAAGTCTTGGGTCACTGGCAGGTTTTGTGTGCCTGGGGAGGTCGGTAGTGGCAGCGTGTCTTTACCTCCGTCGCCATCTTGTCCCTGGTCAGCTAGGCCCATAAATTTCGGCGTCGACACACGGGTCGCAAAGAAGCCGGCCCGATCGTTTTTTTCAGCCTGCTTCTTGGCCTTCTGTGCTGCCATGCCTGGGGGGTCTTGTGTGGTATTGTTATGAGCCGGTACAGCTTGTATATTCCGCTTTTTCGGGCCGTCGGCGCGTGGAGCTCAGCGCTGCGCAACCATCCGCTTCGCCCGTCAGGCCACCCAACAAAAATTACTTTTTAAAACTCCGATGTAACCGCGGTATTTGAAGCTTCTATTTGACTCTCAGATATGAAGTGCACTCCACCCCACTAATGTACTAGTTTGCAGAATTCTTTCCTAAGCTATCCCTATCAGCAGCAGCATCCTCTCCCTACACTAATAAGACCGATCTCCTATAACTAAGTGTTGGTAGAGTGCTGAGATTGTGTGATCTAATGGGACGCCTCGGTCGCAGAGATCCTCGAACCAGGTGAGATCCCTATGCAGGCGGTCAATGTGGCATTGTGTCGTAATAATGTTTCAGTTGTAGGTATCTGAGTACCGTTAGGGGGGTCCTTGGTTCTTCTCCCAGTAATGAGCAAAAAAATAGGTTGCAAGAGTATACTGAGAACGGGCAGCAGCTGAAATAGCCTGCCCTTCGGTGGGTCCCCGCTCAGATCTCAAACTGGTTTTTGCTCATCTTGTGCCATTAATTCTCCCAGTAATGAGGTTAGGTCCTGGAGCCTGCCCCCTACAAGAGCTTTATGAATGGGGATATATTTCCTTGCACTCGTGATGGGCCATGCCCGAGGGGGGAATCCCCCTCTTATGGCCTCGCTATGCGTGAGCGGAATCATTGGGCTGGGAGTAGGCGATACGTGGCTCTGGTCTCTCAGCGACCTCCAGCCAAGGATTGTTTGCGGTATTGGCCCCTTGTTATTGTTTTGGGTCACCTGTCCCCTTGCCCTCCACCAGATCTTCATTTCAAGCGTTGGTCCGATGAGACCTTTGTCAAGCTCTACCCATTGTTTTGTCGTAGGTTCCAGGTGCCAGTCTAGTATCCGTTGCATTACCGTGGCTTGGTGATATTTCTTAATATCCGGCAGTGCTAGTCCCCCGTGGTTCCTTGGTTGGCAGAGTATGTCGTGCCGGATTCGGAAGCATTCGGCGCGCCACACAAATTTAATTATCGCCGTTTTTAAGGCGGAGAAAAGGATCCCTGGTATAGCTAATGGGATCATCTGCATGAGGTATAGGATTCTCGGTAATATGTTCATTTTGAGTACTGCCACTCTTCCGTGCCAGGTTATGTGTGGGTACGACCATCTAGTCAGGTCAGGTAGGATTGTCTTTAGAAGGGGTGTGAAGTTGAATCGGTATGTATCTTCTGGGTCTGTAGCCACCCATATGCCCATAACACCAGCGGAATGCGAATTGCGATTCTAGGGATATGTATTCTTCTGTAGGGATCGTGATGTTCAAGACTTCGCATTTTGAGAGATTAAGCTTGAAGCCCGAGATCTTTCTGTGACGGTCGCAGCCAGGGATTCCGAGCCTAGGCTCTCTCCGTCACCCACAGCATTGATTGCTTTGGTTAGCCATGGCAGCAGGAGGCTGGAGAAACTCTTATAATATCCAGTCGAAAAGCCGTCTGGACCCGATGCCTTGCCCGATTTGGACACTTTGAGTGCCGCTGCCAGCTCATCTGTGCTGATCGGTGTGTTAAATGTCGACGCTGATTCTTGACTAATCGTGCTGGTGATCGTGTTGCTGGAGTAGTCTCTTATCTGCGTGATGCTGCTTTCGTTGCAAGCTGTCCTCGAGGGTGGATGTAGAGTGTAAAGGGTCTGGTAGAAGGTCCTGAACTCATCGGCAATCTTCTGTGGAAAGGGGGTCACTTCCCCCGAGGCAAGGTGCAGTTTGCGTATTTGTCTACGGGCATGGGGCCCTTTAGTAGCCTAGCTAAGTATTTCCCCCCTTTATTAGCATGGGCATAGTAAAAGCCCTTTGTGCGCTGCAGATTTCGGAGATGCATTTTTGTGATGAGTTCTTTAAGTTTTATTCTGTGTTCCATCAGTTCCATCAGTTCCCCGTAAACTCCATGTAATTGGGACCTTTTGTGCTGACTTTCCAGTGTTGATATCTTTTGGTACAGGTTGGTCATCTCAATCATATTCGCTTTTCGTTTTTGCGATGCAATGCGAATTAGTATGCCGCGGATGACGCTCTTATGAGCTTCCCATACGGTTATCGGGGATGCCTCCGGTAGGCCATTTCCTCTGAAATAGTGTTCTAGCTCTCGGTTTATTTGTTCTTTAGTGGCTCGGTCTAGTAGGAGTGCCTTGTTAAGTCTCCAGGTCCAAGTTGATGGGCGAAACATGGGGGACTCCAGTCCGTGATCCGACCACGTGGCTGGGTCGATGTCAGTTCTAAGTAGGTGGGCAAGTCCCTCTTGCATGATGAAGAGGTAATCTATGCGTGAGTAGTGGTTGTGAAGGGCGGAATAGTAAGTAGTCTTTCACCGACGGATTGAGCGTTCTAGTGCGGGATCTTTAGCTTTAAAGCCACGCCCCCAAAAGCCAGGAGCGTGGCCCCGTTTGAATTTTGGCTGCACTATTTTGCTGCCGTACACACACACACTTTTATTTCCTATATATGTAGAATATATTATAATTAAAGCATTTAATAATATATTATACATATATAATGCATATGTATGATTTCATTATAAGTGTATTTTGAGATATATGTGTATATATCTCAAAGTACACTTACAATGAAATCATATATATGTATAATATATTATGAAATGTTTTTATTTTTTTTTTGTAACATATATTTAAAGAGGTTATGGTGGGGAAAAATTGTGATTGAAAACCCCTTCCACCTGAAGTCTGTGGATAATTAATACAATGTTAAACAAAAATCTGCACACCAGTCAAGCCATAAGACTTGCTTTTCCCACAGAAATCCCATAACTGCAGCGATGTTACAACCGCAAAGGATTCTGGGTGGGCATATGCAAATTAGTTTAACAAAGAATAACATTTTTGCCTCATTCCATTTTAAACATGGATTCCTTTTAATCTGTGTTTGCTGTTTACAGTTTCTGCGCCTACCATGATGACCACGGGTAACGGGGAATCAGGTTTCCACTCCATACAGGGATCCTGAGAAACGGCTACCACATGCAAGGAAGGCAGCAGGCGCGCAAATGACCCACTCCCGACGCGGGAAGGTAGTGACGACAAATAACAATACAGGACTCTGGAGGCCCTGTAATTGTAAGGAGTCCACTTGAAATCCTTTAACTCTGATCAATTGGAGGGAAGTCTTGTGCAGAGCCACTGACCCATGCGTGCTGCAGCTGAAACTCCACTATCGCCTGCTGCTGCTCGCAAAGTTTCATGAGGCGGTGAGCGGGAAGGCCGAAGTTATGCTGCAGCGCAGACAGGCGAGCAGCAGCAGGGTGACAACACCAAAAGCGCGCACAGCCACTACAGTGAATGTCACGTCCTGACAGTATCTGGGTCCTGGTCACCGGACTGCCCACCTCACTGTGAAACTACGAATGGATCGTTAAATCTGGTACGAACCCGAACTTTGCAGTTCGGATTCGCTCAAGTCTATTATGGATCCTTTGATCGCTACATGTATTACTTGGATAACTGGTAATTCTCGAGCTAATACATGCCGACGAGCGCTAGGGGACGGCCGCTCCACTTTTGCACCGTGCTCCCTCTTATGCTGTGCTGGTGCCTCTGTGCCACAGCGCCTCTTCCTCCAAACTGCACACGTCACTCGCATGATCTTGATTCCATGTGGGGTCTAGGACCTCATCATCCTCCACATCATCTTCCACCCACTCCTCAACCCTGCCCTCCTTGCCGGTATGCACACTGCAGAAAGCCACAGTAGTTGGCACCTGTGTTTTTCCAGCATGTAAAGTCTGCAAAGGACATATGGAAATTGTTTCAGAATTGTATCCAGGCAACAGTTTTCCCTATAAACTGACCTCTCAGTTTGACTTGTGAGGGTATTGAAGTACCTCTTAGCTATTGATCACTGGTTTAAATATAGCAGCTTGTTATCTGGTAGTTTCTAGTGTAGAAAATATCAATCTGTTTTTTATCACTTAGATCTGTGTAACAAGTGTTGTAGGTGTGAAACAATATTACAAGTGACCGATGTAGTAAATTCGAATTAAAGTTCCATTTGCAAAAAAAATTCTCGCCCATCTTTTTGTGGGTTATTGCATTTTTAAGATGTAGACTTATTGTATCACACTAGCCATGCACATTGTCTGGCACGTTGTTTTGGTGTTTGGTTTTTAACTTTGTAGTTTTGTCTTTATACAATATAGAAATCTATATTAATGCTTCTGTATATGAAGCGATCACAATAACACTTATTTTTCACTTAAAAAAAACAAAAAAAAACAGGCTACACAAAAATTGGTAATTCACAATATGACATCTGAAAAGCACATTAAAGGATGCTGTATGATTTTTTTTAAAAAGGACACACTACATGAAGGTCCTGTTCACTAGAGTGTGTAGTCATAAATGTAACCAGTAAAACTTTGTTGTTTACAGCCACTGGTTGGCCCATACATATTTGTCTAATTTTGTCTAACTTGTCTAATTTTGTTGTAGCATGACTTGTAGATATGAAGAGCAGCCCCCAAAATGTACTATTTAGCAGATTATCACCCAGAAAATTAGAATTTTTACAAGTGCGCTGGAAGCACACTATTAGACGCTTCTATTTGACTCTCAGATATGAAGTGCACCCCACTAAAATACTATTTAGCAGTTTAGCACCCCAAAAAATTTAAGTTTTAAAACTGCAATGTGACAGCAGTATTTGATGCTTCTATTTGACTCTCACATATGAAGTGCACCGCAGGCCGCAAATGTACTATTTAGCAGATTAGCACCCAGAAAATAAGAATGTTTACCACTGCGCTGTAAGCACACTATTAGACACTTCTATTTGATTCTCAGATATGAAGTGCAGTCCGCAAATGTACTATTTAGCAGATTAGCACCCAGAAAATAAAAATGGTTTACCACTGCGCTGTAAGCACACTATTAGACACTTCTATTTGACTCTCAGATATGAAGTGCACGCCCCAAAATGTACTATTTAGCAGTTTAGCACCAAAACAATTAGAATGTTTACAATTGCACCGTAACCACAGTATTAGACGCTTCTATTTGACTCTCAGATATGAAGAACAGGCCCCAATATGTACTATTTAGCAGATTAGCAGCAAAACAATTAGAATGTTTACAAGTGCACAGAAAAAGCACACTATTAGATGCTTCGATTTGACTCTCAGATATGAAGAACAGGCCCCAAAATGTACTATTTAGCAGTTTAGCAGCAAAACAATTAGAATGTTTACAATTGCGCTGTAACCGCAGTATTACATGAAGACATGAAGTGCACACCCCAAAATGTACTATTTAGCAGATTAGCACACATCATCTTCCACCCACTCCTCAACCCTGACCTCTTTGCCGGTATGCACACTGCAGAAATCCACAGCAGTTGGCACCTGCGTTTTTCCAGCATGTAAAGTCTGCAAAGGACATATGGAAATTGTTTTAGAATTTCCTCCAGGCAATAGTTTTCCCTATAAACTGACCTCTCAGTTTGACTTGTGAGGGTATTACCCCAGAATTACAATATTGTTGAAGTACCTCTTAGCTATTGATCACTGGTTTAAATATAGCAACTTGTTATCTGGTAGTTTCTAGTGTAGAAAATATCAATCTGTTTTCTATCACTTAGATCTGTGTAGCAAGTGTTGTAGGTGTTAAACAATATTACAAGTGACCGATGTAGTAAATTCGAATCAAAGTTACGCTTCAATTTGACTCTTAGATATGAAGTGAACACCCCAAACATACTATTTAGCACCCCAAAAAATTTAAAAAATTGACTTTTTAAAACTCCAATGTAAGCAGCAGATTAGCAGCAAAACAATTAGAATGTTTACAAGTGCACAGTAAGCACACTATTAGACACTTCGATTTGACTCTCAGATATGAAGAACAGGCCCCAAAATGTACTATTTAGCAGATTAGCAACAAAACAATTAGCATGTTTACAGTTGCACTGTAACCGTAGTATTAGACGCTTCTATTTGACTCTAAGATATGAAGTGCACTCCTCGAAATGTACTATTTAGCAGATTAACAGCAAAACAATTAGAATGTTTACAAGTGCGCAGAAAGCATACTATTAGTCGCTTCGATTTGACTCTCAGATATGAAGAACAGGCCCCAAAATGTACTATTTAGCAGTTTAGCAGCAAAACAATTTGAATGTTTACAATTGCGCTGTAACCGCTGTAGCGGAGCGGCAATATTAAATCCCACGATCTCTGCTGGTAAAGAGGGTAATCCACAGTCAAGCGCTGAAAAGTAAGGCAATATCCCAAATCCCCCAGTAACCAGACGAAACACAGTTCTGGGAGTCAACTGAGGTTTTTATTCACAGCATCCAGTATTTATGCAAGTCCCCATGCAAAGGGTTTCCATACTGACATAGCAGGGGTAATCCAGTAGGGGACTACATGGGGAACTTAACATTCAGACCTTTTCTCCCATCAGGCACTGCTGGACGAGAGGGATACTCCCACTGGAATGTACCGTTAAGTGGATTATCCCTCCGTGCAGCAGAACCGACATTTCACATAAAAATGTATAACTTTTACAATACTTGGGTGATTTAAACAAATGGACGTTCGGTAGATAGCTGGGGTCTGGGCGCACCTTTCGTGAGAATACCGCTCAGATCCCAGCTAAAACAACCGAACGCTGCATGAAATACACTTTGCCCATGAGTTCGTCTGAAACTACCGAACACCGATGGGGAACTGTAATAGGGGAATACCGGAGCTCCCGAACGGCCTGGAAGTCCAGCGAGGTTTGCGCCGTTGAGTAGCCGATTTCGGCTCCACGCGCTCGATGACCAAACCCCGCTGGTGAGACAAAGGATCCAAGATGGCCGACCGCCGCATGGTCGGTAGCCGAACGACGGCAACCTAGGAAAGCCTCTAATTACCGATTGCAACACTGTTGCAATCGGTTAATGAGCGCCACACGTCCCTCTGTGTGTGGGCTATTAGAGGGTAGCTCATTCGTTTCACGAACAGCCTGTAAGGTTGCTGTTCGTGAAACGAAACACATGAATGCTAGCGGCTTTCGGCTGCTAGCATGCGAATTCAATGCAAACATACATTAACACACAGTGTACATCCAGGTTATCCAAAACATTACAGGGATTAATACAGGCAACCTTTTTATGCACATAGTTCAGAATATTACAAGTGGCTAGGTTTGCCACAATCGCAGTATTACACGCATCTATTTGACTCTAAGATATGAAGTGCACGCCCTAAAATGTACTATTTAGCAGATTAGCAACAAAACAATTAGAATGTTTACAAGTGCGCAGAAAGCACACTATTAGAACCTTCTATTTGACTCTCAGATATGAAGAGCGGGCCACAAAATTTACTATTTAGAATTTCCACCAGGCAACAGTTTTCCCTATAAACTGACCTCTCAGTTTGACTTGTGAGGGTATTGCCCCAGAATTACAATATTGTTGAATTACCTCTTAGCTATTGATCACTGGTTTAAATATAGCAGCTTGTTATATGGTAGTTTCTAGTGTAGAAAATATCAATCTGTTTTCTATCACTAAGATCTGTGTAACAAGTGTTGTAGGTGTTAAACAATATTACAAGTGACCGATGTAGTAAATTCGAATCAAAGTTAAGCTTCAGTTTGGCTCTCAGATATGAAGTGAATACCCCAAGTATACTATTTAGAGCCCCCCCAAAAATATTGACTTTTTAAAACTCCAATGTAAGCAGCAGATTAGCAGCAAAACAATTAGAATGTTTACAAGTGCGCAGTAAGCACACTATTAGACGCTTCGATTTGACTCTCAGATATGAAGAACAGGCCCCAAAATGTACTATTTTGCAGATTTGCAGCAAAATAATTAGAATGTTTACAATTGCACTGTAACCGCAGTATTAGATGCTTCTATTTGACTCTAAGATATGAAATGCACGCCCCAAAATGTACTATTTAGCAGATTAGCAGCAAAACAATTAGAATGTTTACAAGTGCGCAGAAAGCACACTATTAGACGCTTCTATTTGACTCTCAGATATGAAGTGCACCCCACTAATGTACTTTTTAGCACCCAAAAATTTTTAACTTTTAAAACTGCAATGTGACAGCAGTATTTGACGATTCTATTTGACTCTCAGATATGAAGTGCACCCCACTAATGACTACCCCACTAAAGTACTATTTAGCACCAAAATAAAAATTACTTTTTAAAACTCCGAT